CCAATACCTGGTGGTATGTCATGTGCGAGAACTGCTGAAAAGTCTCAAACTAGGAAGAAACCGTTGTCAACAAATGCTTTCTGCTTTTCACTGATCTGTCTAGCTATTGTTGGTTCTTTTCGAAATGTATCAGTTTAAACTGAATTTAATCTCAATCCCCATAAATCCAGTAGTCTAGATTTCTGATCATTCTCCCAGTACTAGATAAGCAACTATGTAAAATTTATGCAGAAACACCTTCAAAGTAGGCTGACAGTGTACAACATATTTGTCAGTCATCTAAATACACATACGATTATGAGCAAACTAGAATTTGAACACAGAATTAATCTAATCAGGCTGGAACAGCCTATATCCTTAGAGACTTAGAAGTATAACGGACGCAGAGCAGAAATACGTGATCAATCTATGCGCTGAAAATAGACATCATCATACGTCACTGTCTGAGTGTAAAACTCAAATGATAGTAGACATTACTGGGTGGTACACTCACACTAAACTAACATTTTAAAAAAAGTTAACGCTAACCAACTGAAATAAATCAATAAACCAGAAGTACTTCGGAAATTATTTTATTCTGCAAATAGTAAGCTGTTTTTCATCAACAAAAATTTTGATAAAAAAACAAAAGAAACTTTTTCTTGTGTAATATAAATACCCTTCAGAAGGGAAAATCAGTTCTGAAGGTAACTAGGTGTTGAAAAATAGAAAAAAAAGGGGAATATTATGAAAGTGCTCATAAGCTGTACAATTTTTCAAGAGGCAACAATTTTTATGTACAAGAAAATTTCAGGTGACATTTGATTTTTACCATAAATAACAGCATAAAAAAATATTGTGGAAAAAGCAATTACAATAGAATATGTACAAAATACAAGGAAATCCAACTCATATATATTTAGTCATCTAACATAAAGCGTTTAATTGCTGTTTTCCGGCGCTTCGATGGTCGAATTCTACAATCATCATCGACATCATCATTCTCATTATTAGAGTTACTGCTATTGTTACCCCGTGAGGTGGAAGTCTTGGGAGTGTTGGATTCATCACCGCTTTCCTCATCAACTACTACCACCTGGAGCGCACGATCTTCGTATTCTTCATCGTCGTCGTCGTCCTCCTCGCCATCATTCTCAATTTTATTACCTTCTTCATTCAACTCTTGACGGGTTACAGTTGTTGAACGTTTACTTGTTGGTTTTCGGTCTTTCAGCATTTCTGAATTAGAACGTTTCACCCCACGTGACTTTGATTTGTTTGTAGATCGAGTTGTCCTACTTCTTGTTTTCTTACTTCTGGCTGATTCATTTTCGTCTTCAGATGAACAAGACGATGAATCACTAGTCAGGGATATGACTTCATTACAATCAGAATCGCCATCAAAAGTGTTCATGATTTGAGTCTCGGATTGATTTTGGCGTTTCGATGAAGTTGAACTATTACTACTATTATTTGAATTACTACAAACCTGTCGTCTTTCCGCCTATGAAGAAATGGAAAGACAAGAAAGTGAGATTATGACAACAAAAAATGTGATAGCAAGTTTTACTAATGAAACCTATCAAATGAAGGCATAGATTTCTAAAGAAGGGGAAATTCATGTGTGTTGATGAAGCGCTGTGGGCAAACATTGAAGAGAAATTATTGGTTTTTGTTTGTGGTTGATTCCTACACTTAATGTTCCACTTAACTATTGAGTAATGATGGACTGTTAATAACAGAGCGTTGTTTTATGATTGGAGATTCATTTGGACGAATTCAAGGTTACGCAGTGGAGATTATTTAGCCTTACACAGTCAGTGGGAAATCTTTGGCTCTTGCCGGCAAAGTTTAGATCCCACCTTGTTGGAGATATCCTTTTCGATTCTCAGATATCGCTTACAGTAGTTTTTAGTTAACTAATGTTATTGTACAGTACTTATTTTGTACATGAGAAATATTTAGATTGTATAAACCTTCAGTGGCATTGTTGACGCAATTTTTTGAGTTCTTGATATGTTATTATTGTTTGATAGTACAACAGACTAATCCCACCTAACCGTCTCCTTTGGGACTGTGAGTCACTGGCGGAAGTTTGACCAGCTATACAGAAGAACTCATCAACTGGTCCTATGGGTTCAGACCAAAATACTTGGGGCTTCGGTCGTTACAATGCCCTGGTATCTAGACTGAAACAGCTGGAGCAGAATTTGAACCCATAACTCATTAGTCAGAATTCGAGATCTTAAACCATCAAGCCAAACCAGCACAAGTAAAAAACTAAGTGACTGAAAATAACTAGAAGTTACTTTTCATATAAACTGGTTATGTAGTCTACATTAAGTATCACAGTGTAGCGATTTCTACATTGGAACGAAAATAATACAGTAAATGATGATTATATAAAGCAAATAACAACTTGCTAGACAAGCTTACTTCAGCTGCCCGACGTGAATCCAAATTTCGAAGGCTATGACCACCCTTACCAGTAGGCTTCAGCCTGTTTGTTGTACCCTTCTTTACTTGACCTGTACCTGTATACACATCACCATTCATAAGACCAGATGTGTTAGCGGAGTTCAACGAAGAATCTTTACCTTTTGACTGGTAACCACTTTGTGTTGAAGGAAGATCTTCAACTAGTGCTAATAAATCCGAAAAACGATCTTTGAGGCTGGGAGATAATTTTGGTGAAATTGCCAACGACTGGAGGGAAGACTGTATATCGTCGTCTTGAAATACTGAAGATAAAATCAATGGTATGAGAGAATCAAATGCAGATTAGAAAATCTAAGCAATCATAAGAGACTAATGTAATAAAAGATGACTTGCAATACATTTGGTTGAGTAATACAATAGTTTATCATTTTAAAAAACCCAGTTAATTTCACCAAAAGTAGTTTCATAGTATTTTTCCGAAGAATAAATCAATAATTAAATAAAAACATGTATAAATAACATTTGAAAACTGCAAAATATTTAAGACCCATTTAATAAATTCTGAGTCTGAAACATAACATTTTCCCACGCCACTTAAATATGTAATGTTTGTATCAATTATCTCCTGTGTTTGTTAGTGTGTGTATACATAGTACTGCTAATTTTCATGGAGTAATGACCTTCCACACTGAGTCGGTGGTTCAGTGATGGAACATTTGACAGCCCGCCCCCCCCACGTGGTCCGGGATTCAACCCTCGGCAGACACTATCTTAAACCTCGCTCTGCTGGTATTAAATCTGACAAAGAAGAAAGGTTGAGCGTGAGGCAAGCAACCAGACCATGTAAAAAATAAACACCACTGCTACTGAAAATTTAAAGCTCAGTCTTAAATCCCTATTTTCCACCTGGAACGCAGAGGAATAAAATAAATAAATAATGTTTTTCACAGGCTCATACAGAGTACTCAACTTTTTTTACTTTAGAGGCAAGATACACAGCACTGACTTCCATTTGAAGTTGAATAAACTATCAAAGAAATCTTACTGCGCAAGATCACCCAAAGCACGAATTAGCATGAGGAAGTTCTGCTTTGTTAATAAATAATGACCAAAGAATATTCTTTTCGATAAATCTGTCATCAATCTCTATACAACTTATATGACCATAATGACTAAAAAAATGATTGTCATTAGCAACATTAAATTTTTAATTAAATAACACCGAATTTTAACAAACCAGTAAATTGTGGTGCAAAAGAATTTGCAATATGGACCAGTATTTTTTTTCTATTCCTTTACATTCCCAGTGGAGCATACGACTTCAAACTAGAGGCTTGAAGTTGTGGTAGCAGTGGTATATATTTTTACAGGACGGGGTTGCTAGCCTCATACCCAACCTTCCCTTTTTACCAGTTTTATTACTGGTGGGGTAAGGGAGTGCGTCGGCCGGGGATCGAACCCCGGACCAAATGCGTGGTCGGCGAGCATTCTACCGTTGTGCCACCGACGCACTGCAGAACAGTATAACAAACACTAAATTCAACATCAGGTAAATTTAGGAAAATAATACAGAATTTATAAATTTGTAGGTTCCACTGTTGCTGCCCTGACCTACTGTGGAACCTACATAACTAAAAAATCTGTATTACTCTCCTTAATTTATCTGACGTTTAATTTAGTGTTTGTTATACTGATGTATATTATCGCTTGCAGATGCTTTTCTACTGTGATTTATCGATTTTTTAGGTCCGATGTTATTTCATTAGAACACTAATGTTGTTAATATCAATAATTCTTTATTTACTACGGTCATATAAATGTAGAATCTGATGAAGGGGAAGTTATCGAAAAGAATCTTCTTTGTTCACTAATCAGACTTCTAAAAATTTTAATGCGCATCTTCAATCAAATAACTATCAATTATAAAAGTAAACTGCTATAAACTAACCACCAAGTAAACATACCCAATGTTCCCGATAACCCAATTAACTTCACTACCTACTTATGAGCAACATCAGAAGAATTACAAGGAGAAGTATATGTCCATCTATCACAATTTACTTTAAATTTAATCCCTGAAGCAGATTGAGTCTCGTTCAAATTATAGTTGAATTCTACTCAACCCTGTCAATTAAATTACGTCACTCAGATTTAATTATTCAATTTTATTTTACTTTCTACCCACAATTAACACTTTCTACAGCATGTGATTTGTTATCTAAAATTTACAATTCCAATGACACCCATCTTTGGAAACATTCATTTTATTGCTAAGAAAATTTATTATTTTTTTTATTTTATTATAGCTTGACACCACACCGTATTTTTGATACAAGTATGAAATTTTCAGCATGTGATATCGGTAGCCCAAATTTTGCAGGCCGACCATTGATACTGGGTGTGCGTCGGCTGGGGATCGAACCCCAGACCATGTGCATGGTCGGCGAGCGTCCTAACCGCTGTGCCACCGACGCACCAAAGCCGCCTGCTGGGATTGTACAGTTTGAAAATGACATCGCCGAAGAGAGTAACTCTTCGTTGAACGCCTTTTCTTTATTAAAGAACAAAAAAGAAGAAGTATGCAGTAATTATAGACTGATACTAAACTATAGTATAAAAGGAATAAATTTGTCTGCGTTACTTCCTGACAGAATATAAACAGTGTTTCACAAATCATTAATTACAAAGTTTGAATTATCTGAATAACTAAACATATAACTGTTTTGTGTGCTACAAAGTATACTGTGAGAAAAATGTGCCCATTAGTCATGTTATCTATGGCACTGTCATCTGAAAGAAACAAATCGTCATTTTAAATTGGATAAATCCACTGACTATTGTGGTATACAACGCTATCATCATCAAGCAGAATTTCGAAAACGCGTACATACTCAGATCCTTTGGTTGAGTTTTTTTTTGAATGACAATCTGACCTTTATAATGGGACTCAGTAAAAATATGAAATAAAATTTACTTTCGTAAATAGACATCAGTTAATTTTTCTAAAATAGGATACAATATACAAGACTGTAAAAGAGCCTTTTATACAACTCACATGAGATATTTTTACAATTTCTGCGAAGAGAATCCAAGTGAGTAAGAATAAGCGAAAGATCAACACAATTCTCCGGTGATAGTTGATTTCTGTAAATGAATATAAAGCGACAAAAAACACGAACATGTGCAGTAGTAACAAGGTTATATTCAATAGTTCAATTTAAAAGGAGTGCAAGACATATTATTAAAAAGTGAATTTATATGAATTTGAATGTGTGTGTTAAGGTGAAATAATGGGACACTAGTAACGATTTAATTGTGGCATCTAGTATAACAACATACAACCAGTTGGACAAAATATTGCTTACGGAATTTTAACGTCCCTTTTTATTTGAAATACAAACTTGGTGCAATATGAGTAGCAAGAGATAGATGCGTAACACAAGAATATGTGAAAAAATAGGGAGAGAATGAGTGGGAGATGTCAGTAAGAAAGCAAGTAAACATACTTGTCAAGATCATTCAACATTCATCACTTCATGTTATTTTCGGAAAGGGAACAAAACAGGAAACTGCAGCATGTTCGTCAATGATTGAGACTCTTCGACATATGTGATAACGTTTCGAGCCAGCGATTTGAACTATATCTCGGACCATTATCAGAAAGGCGTGATGCACCAACTCATATTGACCTAACACAAAAATCCTTCATCTCATGGCGCCATGTCATAGGCTGACAACTTATCGGCTTTTTCCATCCAGCCTCAGGGCTAGCGGACAGACACCAAAACGGAGGCCTCTGGGATGAAATTTGTAGCACATTTCCAAGCCACCGAAACCGGCGTTTCCACATAAAGGCACTCAATGAATGGTGATATTCACCGCGTCCCGATTTACGCTGCCGGAGCTCACAATTACTTACACGATGATGCCATAGGACGCAATCAATTCTAAAAAGACATCGACGACCGAATGCACAGAGTCGCCTTCAACTCGGTGATGCCAGGTTTCACAGGATAACAGCGACTGTGTGAACCGAAGCATTGTAAACTCAACCTTTGACAGCCAGGCTAACGTCGCGATAGCTCCAGAAGTGACTCAAATTAGCATGTCACACTAGATTTCACTATATGGTCAGAGATCTCGTTCGTCAAACCTTCTCCAACACTTACATAGCTACTTAGATACACGAATTTGGCAACAACTTAAAGAAGTTCACCTGAAAGGGTGACTGCAGGTACAGGCTCCTGCAAAAACACTTTGCAGTTAGGCGGTGTCAACGACGTCAATAAAAAAGGTTAACAGGTACCTGTGCATCGAAGAGTGACAAAGATTCTGGAATTAATGCTTTTTCATTCAATTTAGTTTGATTTTACTTGTACAACAAAAATGGTTGATTACTGTTAATAACCTCTGAGCTTAGATCATCACAAATTACACTACTGTTATTACCATCACTACTGTGATGACCAATATTAAATATAATTGGTACAGTGTACCCGGTTAAAGTCATCAGGGAGTTGAACGAGTCTCTCACTATAAACAGTAGAATGAACAAGGGGCAACATACCAATAGTGTCAACGCTAGACAGTAAGGCAATTTCGCGCGTGTCTGAGTCGTATTTCTCTAAAATTTATCAAACAAGTTATGATGCGCCAGTAGATATCAGCTCATCCCAATTATTCGTCACACAATAACGGTACCTCAATAACACTCCAAGATGATGGTTTTAGTTGGACGCAAGTCTTTTTCGCAACTGAAGACATACTACTAAGCCATAGAGTTACACAAATAAAATCGCCAATGAATGCAGATAAGATTCAAGAGGCATAGTTACAAAATAACTCCAACTGCGAAAGGCAAAGCTTGACAGAAATGCACGTAAAAAAGCACTATAGAACCTATACTTTGGAAGATAAGATTTCTTCAAAACTACTTGATAAATCTCAACAGAGACAAGATAAAGATAAACAGCAAGATTGAAGAGGGTTGGCTGATTTGAAACAATAGTGAAAAGTGGTCGTATGGACCAACTCCACTGAAAATCTTCCTGTAAATTATTCTCATGATACTGATAAACCGTATAGCTACCGAGCATATAAAAACAAAGTGCCACTGCCAGTTTCTTAGTAATAGTAGACGAAGTCAATGAGGCAGCATCACTACTCAAAGATGTACACTTTAACATCAGATGCCCTCCAACAGATTAACAATGTGAAAACGCCTAAAAATAATTGACTGAATATACAAAATGTCATTCATAGATGAATATGATAGGAATCTCATTCAATTAGTTCTAATTTCATATCATGAAATGCTCCAACATCATGGCTGAAAAAAAGAAGGAGCGAAGTGTAAAAGTGTAAAACTTACTTTGAAGAACTACTACGACGTCTCTCTTTACTCTCTCTCATATTTTGACCACTATTAGTTGAAGTACCACCACTAACGGAATTTGAATCTTTAACTGATGCTAAAGGCGTACTGATCAAGGAACACAAGATGCTTGAAAAACGGCCAGAGTGTTGATTATCTGGACAACTCCAGAAATGTAATGCTGTCATTGATAATAAATCATTAGGACTACGACGAGATAATAAGGCACGAACTAACTCAAAACTAGGCCTGCAAAGATAATTTAAACAAACAAAAAATCACAAAATATGATTCGCATGTTTTATGAAACTGTGGTATACCTTTTTTTATAAAAATACATCACATGAACAATGACATTTATTTTAACTACGAAAATGACGTCAGCGCATAGATATGAATTACAATACTCTAATAATCATGTAAAGAAATAGAAATCAAAAGGAGAAGTTGAACCATAATAAATAAACGAATCAAAAAATTCTTAATGCCTGAAAAACCCAACAAATACGTTTTATTATCTTTCCAAAGTAAACCAATGACGGTTTGTAATCTCAATTTCCATTACAAGGTAGTTAGATGGCTTCAATGGAACATACTAAAGGTATTTCCAATGACCAACAGAGTGTAATATATTTTCCAACCTTGAATACTGCCGAATTGTAGATATGTGCTCTTTTAACACGTCTCCTTCACCTACTTCTACTTGTCACGTGAGTGAATACTTAATGATTGCCACATCATTACTGCGTTGGAGTTTCATAGAGTAGCTATCCCTTAGTACGTTGAACTACTTGGTTTTTTAATCTATAGATTAAAATTTTGCAATACACTTTCAGAGATTCTTCAGAAGCTTTCGATCCACTGAGGTTTATTATGGGTCAATATAGTGCCAGTCTACCATTCGCCAGAGACTACTGAAGCCCAGGAAACACCGAAAATTTATGAGATATCGTTACCAATATTAGATTACAAAAACTAATATGGTATTACAAAATATCAACCTATTGGCCATATATTATACAGTCCCCAAAAACCACCCAGTACAGCCGTAGATGGTTAGACTTTGGTCTCTCTCCCGAAATGCTCCTATGTAACCAAGCGTTCATAGCCTCTGCCATGAAAGTCCTACTCACTTCCTTCACGCAAAACGGGTGTTCCTCACAAAGGTAAAAAGACGAATGTGACCGTCTGGGCACTTACAACCAGACTGGTGGACACCCAGGTCTACCTAGGGAAGCTGGAAACCCCTGAATACAAACATATGGTGAACACAGCTTCACAATCCGAAAGAATCGGATGACATATGAGTCTGTTATGGTTACCAGCAACCATAGGAACGTAGTTACTGACGCTACTCCACCGTCTTGTGGATCAGACGTCAAGTAGAAGGCTCCGGGAGTGGCTCTTCGAAACAATCACACCAGCTTTGATCTACGCATCCAGGTGGTATCCCAGTGAGATTTTGTATGGTATATGTCTTGCTGCCTACACATAATGTATTAAGTTTGCGTTTTATTAAAAATAACACATTATTATTATAAAAATCAATGCTGAAAATCTAGCCAAATCCACCACATTTTCATTTGTTTTAATAGTTTATTCATGTATGTAGCATAAGATTCTTCCATCTGCATAGGAGTAAATTTTCCTATGGACTGCAGTACACATAACGGTCATTTTACAAAAACTCGACACTGAAGTGTGTCTCTTATGTCAAAAGAGAAATCATAAGTAAAGAAATTGCTTCAATAATTATTTGAATAAAAATGACTTGGACTTGCAATTAAATAGCAAAATGATGTGTACTTCTTAACTGTTATATGATAAAACATGTTGTGTAAACCACTCGTGTTAACTTGATACTATACAAAAATGCTTCAATAAATTTAGGGATTTACTTTAAATATATACCTAAGTTTTAAATACACATGTATTCTCACACAGCTACACAAATGGCCGATGAAAGTTAAACACTGAACTGTTTTATTTTATTCAAATATTCTCAAGCCCTTAGAAAGACTTCTACTTGAAGTGAACAAAATCAAATCAAACAGTATACACACAGACTTACTTTTCCAATTTCAAGAGAAGAATCAAATTGGAACATGCTTCAGGGTGTTCTGAAGGAAATAAGACAAAAATAATGTATGAAAAACAAAGGTTAAGATGAAACCTGAATAAAAATAAAATATCACTAACACAATCATTCCATTATAAAAAAAAGACAACACTCAAATATTGTGCGACATTTTCTCAAAACGCGTAACTCTATAACAACACAAAAAGACGAAACCAGCAAAAAATATGAGAAGAATATCGAAAATTTCAATATCTATACTGAAAATAAGGAATTTTTAGAATAAAATACGCAAGGGTGACGATGCGCTGAACATTCATCACAGTGGAACAGTAGTATAGAAAAGCAAACATCGACTTTACAATTCTATATCTTTACTGATATATATACATGAGTTTCATTTATGTTCAGTTTTGCGGTGACCAGCTACTTTTCAGCTTTACACCGAAACAGATCAGATTTATGCCCAATGTATTTGCATAGGCACCTGTAAGTGACATTCGAACATAACGTTGGGGGGATGGATAATAACTTAATATCATAAAAACTTTCATAATAATACTAATGTCTATTGAATTAGTGACTAGTTTATTATGACAGTAATTACATGTTCTAATAGTTTTATTCACTGAACTATAATAGTGTATAACATCTTGTTAGCTGTTCATTAAAATCATTATAATGACTTTATGAATACAGAAGTTCGACAATAGTCAAGATCATACATAAGATCACCACTGGGTATTATTTAGCCTCCCTTGACAGAGAACAAAGAACAGATTACCTATAATTAGGTAGTAAACGGTTTCTGAAAACATTCGTTATTTTGAAGTCAAACAATCGGAAATTTGAAAATCTCTCTCTAACCCCTTGCGTTCCGAGTGGAACATAGGACTTCAAGTTGGAGCTTTGAAGTTTCAGCAGAAGTGGCGTTTTTCTACGGGGTGGGATTTCCATTCTTACCATCAAACTTGCCTGTTCTCCAGGCTTACTGCCATCTAGGCGAGGTTTAGAAATGTATTGGCCGGAAATCGAACCCCGGGACACGTCCATAGTTGGAGACCATTATACATTTATCAATGAAACAACCGACTTACTCAGTGAATCGACTGAACGAATTAGTGGTAAAAATCGACTGGTTGGAATCTCATGAGCATTAATTAATTGCCAGAAAAACAGCTGTTCGATAGAATTCCACTCGAGACTGGCATCTGGTTAATAAAAAAGCGGGTTGAGAAATAATTAGCAAGATAGTAGATTGGAAACATGAGAAAATATTATACATATATATATATATATATATATCAACGTTATAGTTCTTACGTTTGGATGTATTTCAGACTTCAACTTCAAACTTTAGCATAACCTTAACGAGAAACAGATAGTGATAGCGAATTCAGAAAGTCACCTATATTGACATGGTTAAGAAACTGAGAGCCAATGAAATTAAAGGATTAACATCTTTGATTTCTTGGAACCCATTCACTCACACACACTTAATGTGCGAGGGCTGATAATTCTACCTAGTTGATCGGACTGAAGTAAATGCAGCAATATTTCAATACTAGGCCCAATAAAGCATATCTCCACTTCTTTGGAAATGAAATGAACGATCGCATTTCAAGAACCTGAAATGTATTGATACTGATCTCAATAGGATGAGCAGATGAAATATAGGTGGAACACGCAGCTGTACCATTTATTCTACATAAAAGCACTGCTGATGAGTTTAGAATTTAGATAACTTGAAAGAAAAATGTTTTTAACAGTTACGCCTCATGGAATAAACTAATTTCTGAATAGTCAATGTGTTAATTTAATATTACACCATGAATACTGAACACATAATGATACAAAAAAACTAATATGGGAGGTTACTTATATAGTATACGTCGATAAGAACAACATAATTAATTAGGCGGTCATATCTTCTGGAATGATTTATACTGATTAAAATAACTTAATCAGTTGACTAATCGAATGCTTGATATGACTAATCCTTCCCCATCTGAAATATACACATCAGCTTATCAGTAAAAGGTCATTTTTCTAAGTAAGCGCTGTCCAGGATGATAATTATCACAGGAACTGTTAATGAAAAGTAATTGTCGTAAGGAACCTTGTAGATGAATATCATCGTAGTACAACAATGGAAAATTACATATCCATGAACATACCAACTCCTAATTTAAAGACAGGGAAGTGAAATGGTAGAATGCGCTGACAAATTCACTTAATCGGTGTGCTGCATTAAACCCGATAGACTGATTGTTGATGAAATCTCACCACGGATACAAAAGACGAATATGGCATTTGCCAACCTACGTCATCTGTGGCTCAAATTTCATATCCGGCCGTCAATCTAAGGACGTACATACAGTGCAGCAGTTCTCCTTGTCCTCCTTTATTGCGTGAGACAAGGTCATTGAAAGTAGAAGATATGAAAGGGGTAGCTGTCTATGACCACAGATATTTGAGTCCTATCTCCAGTGTTAAATGACATAATACAGTGAATAATATTGATATTAGGTGTAGAGTGTCATATACGAAGGATAAGTCGATCGATGAGATCATGAAGCTACATCGATTGAGATGGCTAGAACACGTGTTGCACATGCAGATCCATCATCTTCCGCATCGATCAATGTTAGCTGACATAGGCTTGGGTTAGAAAAGAATTAGTGGTGGTCAAATCAAAACCTGACATAAATCCATGAATTCTTTAACAGTTGCTTTGAGTCACGTAGGTAGGTGTAGACTTTTTGGTTGGGTTCCTCGGGATGGTAACAACCGACTATTGATGATTAGGCTCAAAATTGTTATCAATGGTGCAGATGCATTCACTCCTCTCATATTACTATTCTTTCTCCTCTACAATCCTTCTCATTTAGTTCTTTTGAATTTCTTTTTGTTTTAGTTGATCTGCTTTTGTGTGCTATACACATGGAATGTGGCAACTTCAACCGCTGCACTTTTGTGCAAAGTTCTGCGACGCTGAATCTTAGTCAGTCAATCAGCGGATCATAAACCAAAATGATGCTCCATATGTATGGCAACTGTACTTATTTCTCATCAGTTCCACATTTTGAATTTTATACAATATATTAACTACAAGTTAATGAAAAGCATTGAAACAGACCATACCATGTATGAAAAACACTCAATAGATAAAAAGAAAACAGATCAAATTTCAAATGAACTATTACTTACTTAAAATGCTTGTCAAATCATTATTTGGAAAAAGATTCAAATGACCACGAACTATTTCACTTATAAGAGAATTACACATTCCTGGATCAATTGTAGCAACAATCAGTTGAAGAAATTCAGTATCATCAGATAATTCAGATGAAAACTATGTGCAAAAAGAATAAGTGTATACAATGAAATTATTATTATTATTATCAAACAGTACATGAATTTAACCAAGGTAAAGTTAAAATAACACTATTAACTCTCTAAGCATTTACTCGTTGTCCGCTAAATGTCAAGTGATGAATGCACTTTTAGGAAATTTTACAAATTTGTATAAAACAAATGCATCACTTAAAAATGTGAAATATATGTGAATGTAAATGTAAACCAAATTGTTATAAAAGTAGTTAGATAGTAGTTAAATCTTTGTTACAAATCACAAGAGTTGCCGAAAGCGTACAATCATATAAACTTAGGCTAAAGGTGGTAATGTGGTATTTGGTCACTAACTTCTATGCATGCATGCTATGATGTCTCTTAATATCACTAATTAATGCCTACCAATAAAAGTAAGATGAAGACGGTATACATAAATGACAGGATACTGGAAAAAAATAAACAACAAATAAAACTATCTAATTCAATTTTAGATTTTCCCGTCGACTGGTTGGAGGCGTCGGCTCCTTGTGCAGATGCTTCGGTCATGTAACTCGAAGTCAATTGGTGTATGGTGACTAACAGTGGAATCCAGGATGCGCATTTCGTCTAATTTGGGACTTATTAGCTGGATATACCTGCATTCCCCACCGAGTGATGCCTCTTGTGGAACAAGTGGTCTAGTGGATGACGCTTTAGCGTTTGAAACTATGGGCACTGGGTTCGAGCCTCGGTGGAAACACCATCACTTACTGTGAAATACAGACACGTCCAGATGACGAGTCCGGAATAGGACGAAGTGTACATTCTGGATTCCACTGCTAGTCACCACCCACCAACAAATAACACTGCATATATATATATATATATATATTAGTCAACTTTAATGATTGGAGCAGGAAATATAATGACTTGGCAAATTAGTACTCCACTTTAGGAGAAATATGCATAACGTGGAAAATGAAGATAGCATATGAACACAGTTGAAAGAGAAGCACGTACCGCAAAAATTTAACAACTATTAATAACAAAGAGCAACTCATTGCAATGAAATTTGGAAAAATGTATTTTCCAATACAAATTAAAAACAAAGAACAAATGTCAATAAAGCAGGATTTAATGGATTTATCAAACTTCGGTTGAACTCTTCAGCTGAATACTCTACATACAGTGATATATATATATATGCATATACATAGATACATACTATTAGAAATACATTGGGATATACAACTGTTAAATAAATAAAATACATTGAATCAATAATGCAAGAGAACAGATAGATAATGGTGAAGGGGTATAAGAGATTAAAATATTTATAACAATAGATTACTGTTCAGCTACATTACTTGAATAAACAATTAGTCGTCAGAAAACAGACCTGAAAATTTCAGCAGTCGCAGTTAGTAAGTAAAACACATCACCATGACAGATTCAGAGTGACCGGGATTTCCTTCTGTACCCTGAGAACGGCTTTATAAACTCTAATTGTACAACCCTACGCAAGTGCAAGCACCTTTCTGTTTATTTGTCTGCTGACAACAGTGAATAACTTGACAGAGTCAGTATTATGCCTATAGTCTATAAGATACTTTGTTATTGGACATGTTCGCACCTTGGCTTCAGTATGATTTTTCCAAACACTTGGACGAATGCTCTATCATGCAAGTAAACAATCGCCTTTCCGTACGATCTGAATATATTTTGCTGCTACAAACATACTCACGTTGATATACACAGTCTGACGTGTCAATGAGTATTCAGTTGAATAGTTCTACTGAAATTTGATGAATTTAATTAAGTCCTGCGTTTATTAACATTTTTTGCTTGTTTGTTTCAATGAAATTTGTTCGTCAGAATAGTAAGTATTATATTGACAGTCAATTCACTAACCTAATTAAATTAGCATGTTAGTTCAATTTGCATACACTACAACAATTAATGTCTTTCTTTTATGCATAATCAACTGATGTCCTTTTCTACCCAATAATAATAATATACTTTTAACAAATTCCTCTGCTGCATCTGTTATGATTCGAACCGACCGATATTCCCACAATGCCACTACTAATATATGCAGCATGCATACAATATTGATGTGATATACTCATCCTAATCATTTAATACTGAAAATTTATTTTATATTGTTAGAAATATCATATTGTAAAAATTAGATGAAAAGTGATTAAAGTCAAATGAATGATGAGTACCATCTCTCTAATACTACAGTTCTTCAAAGGCAATTAAGACGAATCAAACTACCTATCTAAACGAAATAAGCGTAAAGTCTAGATTTCGACAAATGGTTACACCAAGTGTTGATTTGCAAGGGTTTGATTGATTGATGTCCAGTTTGATCACGAACTGACTTCCGTTAATGAACTACTGAAAACCAGGGAGTACTGGACAATTGGGTTCGCCTCATAAGATGAGTGAGGATTAGAGAGGTTTCGCGTGCATTTCGGATTGTGAGGGCGATTGTTACTTCCCGGCTGCCCACACCTTGAAAGTTGGTTGCGTGACCCCAGAGTCCAGGGGACATCTGCTTGAGGCCGGTCACACACGGCCTGTTTTTGTTTGTTCTTTTTCATTTGGTGTGTCTTCAGTATCATATTTATCACTTCTGCCCTGTGACACGGCAGCAGAAAGCGTGGTCGTTGTTAATCCGGGCCCCGACCGATCCGGCATGATATTTTGTTCGCCTCATGACCTAAAGGTGTTCAGTTCGATTTCCCGGTTGGTTAATGGGTACGTGCTGCTGAAAAGACCTTAACTAGAACAAAACAGCTATCCGATACTCCCTAGTTTTCAATGATTTTTGTAACAGAAGTCAGTTCATGATGAAACTTGAAATGATCAGTAGTAAATAAATAAAACATCCAAATTCATGCATTGAGATATAACTGTGGTGAGAGTTGTCTGCAAGCCAAAATTGAAGACAACAATTTACGTCAATATTTACGTCCCGAATCGGGGTCATGAGAAAAACAATAACAAAGCTCAATCTTGAGGAACTCAACAATCAATCACAGCAGACTTAACGTGTGCAAATACGATTCGCAGATATATGGTTTAACTTTCTAAGAAAAGGTCACAAGCAGTACAGAATAACCTTCAGCGAGAAAACTTCTCTGCTAACAATAACGCTGATACAAATGTACATAAAAATCTATAAATATCTCTTGATTTTCTCAATAAACGTTCTGTTGCCTGGCCCTTGTCTTCAGTCATTACATTACTGTATGATTTAACAGTTGAATGCTATGTACGATAAACAATGAACTATACAGTTTTGCACACAAAGCTGATACTCAAGCAAATAATGCACTAAAATTTCCAGTTTCCACATATCAGAACATGAATTCATCATTAACAACTAGATAGGACAACGGTAGACACAGAACAGAAAACAAATGTCGATACAGCAAGCGATATGTGAAGAGTATATTTTTAAAACATACACTCTGATATACTGAATGTCACATTCCATTGTCACTTCCTACTTCAGTAAGATAAATGATTAACGAACTTAGTTTTGTAACCTGAAGTTTATAGGTTCGATCTCTGATGGGATCGTGGGTGCAAACTGGTGAGGGACGAAACAGCTGTCCATCGCTCCCTGCCTTCCTATGATCTCTCCAACTGATGTTGGTTCGTGACAAAATCTAAACATAAATTATAGATTATTTAGAAACTTTAATTTTCTACATTGATTTTTCAGAGTTGAAACCAATCAAACACATAGCTATTATCCAAAATAACATGTCATAATTCAGACTGACTACTCTCCATAAGACTTACTACAGTGAATACATCTGGAAGCAGATAAGCGAACAAACGACGATTATCATCCGAAAGTAACTGAAAATAAAGACAATAGAATTTTCAACAATGAGTAGCAATCACATAGCTAAATGAAATACAACAATAACAGACGCAAGTTTTTTTCTAAACAAATTATCCAATAATCAAAAAAAGTGTTAACGTGATCAGAGAACGTGAAATCAAACAAGTTGATCTGTGAATAACTTATAATTACTATGATCTACTGTCTACAACCAATTAAATGATTGAAAAAGGATCAAAATGCTTTAGCCAATAAGTTTAAATTTCGGTTATGCTTCAGGTTGTTCTACTCTTTCATATAACAACAGCTTGCTAAAAAGGGCGTTATATACACTGTTATCATGAGTATACTGACAACAGGATTGCTGTTTTGTCATAGGTGTAGTTTCATCCAAAAGCTTGCTCCAGCATGTTAAGAAAAGAGAAGACTGTTTACCAAAATCACTCCGACAAAAAAGAAGATCAATTTGACTGTAGATAAGTGAAATGTTTAGTGGTACATAGAATTCTATTAACTTCTAAAATTATCTAATGAGAAGGAAGAATCAGTTTTGTTACAGTTAATTTGAAATTGTTACAAATGCTGAAAAGTCGCTTATTTCTATCTTAGACGAATATTTACGCATCGTTTAAAGTGATATAAGTGCTGGTTATAGTAACTACTTATGTCAGTCAGTAGTATAAACCACAATGCTAGTTCGCTTGTTTGCTTGACTGCCATTTGTGATACCAAACAGATCACAAATTTCTTATCTGAATGACTGTGGTTTCGAAAGGAAACTGTGTAGTCTAAAGATGACGAATTCGACTATATGCTCTACCAGTTCGCTAAAGTAGCTGGTAACAATTTGGGTGGTTCGAATTGATTCGGTTCGCTGAGTTGGGGCAGTCCGGGTACCCAACTGACCAGCTCGACCCCAAGTGAGCGAAACAGCTGTCCAGTGTTTAGATCACTTCGACCTGGCTAGCAAACACGACTGGTTGATGTGAGATGAGGTAGACAACTAGTCATCTCAACCAATCAGCAGAATACACTTTTATGCATATACGCCTGATTTCTTAATTACCATTTATGGTATCAAGCTGATCATATGCATTGTGGTCTGAATAATCTCAGTTTCTAAATGACACTGTGGTGAAATACTCACCTCGAACTGTGTAAATTGAGGATTGTACTTTGCTAATTTGATTGGATACTTTTCCCTGACAAATTTTAATAGTATTAAAATTAAGTTGGGGAGCACGTAATTATTTTCAATACAATACAACAGAAGTAGTTAAGGTGATGGCGAAAACATTAAGAAAACACACAACTTTATATTTCTCAGTAAAAGAACGGGAGAGGAAGTAGTAATAGTAGGAAGTAGCAGTAGTAGTAGTAGTTTTAGTAAAATTTCGTCACTTTTAGTCTTTGAATTTTCACACGCAACTTGCAAATTTTATAGGGAAAAAAAGAAACTACTGCAAAATGTCTGCCGTCTTTTTTTCATGGAAATAGTCATGAAACGAGATAAAAGGAATTTCAGGTCATCCATTTGACTTACTTGCATGTCCTTAAACAAAGAATCTCGTAAATTAGGATTCTCTTGACTTGCACAAAAATTACGATAAATTGACATTTTCTCATCATTTAACTTGCTGAAAAAAACAAAAACAAAGATGCAGAGAAACTAAGCTAAACTAGAAGAAATACTGTAAGGAAAATAAACAGAACTACACAAGATATTAGACAGCTTTAGAACACAATATTTGAATAAATAAGTAGTTGAGCACAATTAATGCACAGATCGGTAGACGGTCGAGTCAATTAAATTCACTCCTCCACTGACTGACTGACTGACTGACTTAGAATTAACAAATGGTGAATATAATTGTAAATACTGCTGAAATTCAAACGACCTATTTTATATCTGAATATTCACCAAACTATTTTCTCCAGACTATAATATAATACATCTCTGGTTATTTGCACACTTAAAAAAGTAGATTATTCATTTGAAAAGTGCACACAGAGTTTATCATAGGACGAAATGAGCATCCTGGATTCCACTGCTAGTCACCATCCACCAATTCAATACTGAGGTAAGATCAATTTAAAAAGAATGCTAACCTGATTTTAAGGAAAAATAGCAAGTGATAACCAAGTCGAGGTTGTCGGCTTTGCATTTCTGTTAACAATAATAAGAGTAATTCACGTTTAGGATCACCAGGACTCATTTGCAAAAGATGACGAAATGGAACAAATATGGGGAATGCCAAACAATCCTCCAGGTGCCTAGTAGAAATGTAAAAGTTAAAAAGGAGACATAGTTTCATTGAAATCAGGATTTATTTGAGACACACACACACACAACCAGAATTAACACTGTAAAATACAACTCCATGTTACAGAAAACGCTGGTTGGTTGATAAGCTAAATAACGAAGATTCAATAAAAATCAAATGTGTATATGATAAACTACAGACGAATGTTTAAGAAAACTGTGCTAATAAAAACTTACTCCTCAGACCATTCAACTCCAATAGGCATAAGTCGTTGAGCGAACAGACAAAACAATAATTCGCATACAACAGCTGCAGTTCTACCAGCAATTTCCAAATCATCAAAGCTATCTTCAACAAGTACTGCTTGAATTAAAGCCTCCATTGACTCACACAAATCACTGAGCACAGACGGAGAACGCAGAAACACTGATTTCGGATAGGTTGGAAATAAATAAAAAAGGTAAAAGAGGAAACAGCCATAAAGAGACAGCCAATGACAACAATAATAATGTACAATAATTATTTGCATATACATTGATGACATTATGGCAATAGGTTTTAGTAATTCCAAGTGAACTAGGTTAACAGAACAAATAATAACAGATAATAGATCTATCATTAATTCGATAAGGAATAAAATCCTCTTCCTTTTTAACAACTAATACGATTACATTAAATTTTAAAGAAGACATGGCTAGCACATTACACTACTTACTCAACCACCAACAGGAATAAGAAATGCAATGCATCAAATGAACTTGAAAAACATTTCTTTCCTGTAGTAAATTTAAAACAAACAAGCAACAACTGTGAAAAAAGTAGCATTTCATGAACTCATAAATTTCGGCAAGAGTTGTCAGCTGAATACTCACTCTACAAACATTATTATTTATACAATTTCCTTTTAAGGTTAAATACATTCAAACACATAAACACTGTCACAACAAATAAGGATCAATTTCAACAAATATATGATCTATAATTGGTGAGTGATAAATATGTTAACGTCATTATTAAGTGAATAATATTCATCAAAGCAGATAATAAATAAACTGGAATTATTGTGGTAGAATTAATACAATTATAAACAACTAGATTCGATATTGAAATACAAGGAAACTTCGTAAAAAAAACCACACAAATAAATGTAACATACGTAAAAAACATAGGACTAAATAACAAGATTTTAGATATCTGATTTAAACTCATAAAAGAGTTTGAATACTCTTCACCAAGATTAATATTCAACTATGACTTTCGATATGTGCATATTCAAAGAAAACTAACAGTATATCACATAAAATACTAATAATAATGGAAAAAAAACATTGTAAAGAGAAGAGGGAAGGAAAGAAAATTATAAAGGTAGAATAAAAGTATACTACTAAAGTAGATTTAAGCTAATTACTGTCTCCTTTTGTATACATAGATTCGGCTTATTTAATCTGATTGAGCAGGCTTCAGCAAAAAAAAGTTTTTTTATTACTTTGCTTATGAATAACTATGATGCTTTCACTCAACGTCACCGTGTGATCACTGAACTTTGTTTTAATACATATTCATAAAACATTTGTCGTTCAAATTACCACTAACACTGTGAGTTCATGTTATAGTAAGACATTTAAACATCATCCAGTGCCTATTTTATACCATTATGATTATTGTTGTTGTCATTACTTTTATTACTATTATTCAGAAGGCTGATGACTACTATCATTTATTATTTTTTCCTTCACGTTCCCCAGTGGAACATAGGGCTTCAAGCTAGTGGCTTGAAGTTTCTGTAGCAGTGTTTATATTACAGGATGGGATTGCTAGCCTCATGCCTAACATTTCCTCTTCACCAGCATTATTTCTGGCTCAGCGAGGTAGAGTGCGTCGACCGGAGATCGAACCCCGGAACATGTGCATGGTCGGCAAGCGTCCTAACCGCTGTACTACCGACGCACAAGCGCTCGCTCGCCGGGAATCGAACCCGGGTCACCTGGGTGAAAGCCAGGAATCCTAACCACTAGACCACGCGGGACATTTAAACATTATCAGGGCGAGGCGCATGCAAATAACACACAGCCTTCTTCAAACCTTGCACACAACCATTAGGTCGCATACTATCCCATCGCCCTTGGCAGATCTGGCAACAAAAGTCACGAGAACACCATCAGAGCATATGACAGGTTAGGTACCCCCTGATGACTACTGGTTAACCCAAATACACAGCAAAATCGATTACGACCGGTATAAATCACCAAAATAATTTGCAAAAGGCCCCAATCCGTCTGGATTGCAGTTTTCATTCCGACTGTCCTTTAGTAGAAAGTCAGATAAATCATTCGATGTGTGGTTGTGATCAACATAGTGAAAATTGTTTGAGACTACTATACAGTTGAAGATAGTAGGTGTTTCTTAGACTAAAAAATCACTAAGAAAGGATTAACATCATTTTTAATTTATTTTTCTTTACTACTTTAAAAATATGAAATTGCATTTTATGAATAAAAATAACTAAGACAGACACCTAAATAAACGTTGAACATTGCATGCCGAACGACGCACAACAAACTTTTTTTTCAAAATAAATATGTATATACATCAATTACCAGAGGACTTTTGCTCTTCATCATGTGAACCACTGTCCAAATCCTCCAATGTTTGTGAAGCGCATAAACCAATTGAAGAATTACGTATCAAACCAACATTTTTGGCCACATCACGGAATTGTTCCAAAGCAGCACGTATTGGTCCATCAAGTTGTTTAATCAGGGAATTAACATCAACAGATTCCACAAAATAATGAAATCTCAACTGGTAATCTTGAAACCGACGTCGAAGATTATCTGTGAGAAGTAAGTAAAAATAGTTAAAACGTATTCAAACAGGAAATCGAAAGAAAAAAGAGAAATAATTATATTAGATCATCTGTAGTTTATTTACAATACTCAGAGGTAACAGTCAACGACACATATTTACAAATCACTAAAGATGTCCATTTTAATTTTCCAAAGACCAGACTTGTGGATAAAGAATATTCTATTAGGTGATGGTTGGTCACAATCGGCAGGAAGCCTTGAACCTAAGTTGCGCGCTTGTTGGCACTCACCAGTCAGCAAGGCATATCCGCAGTCGTGTAGGGACTCATGTCTCTTTTAGGATTCCGACTCGAGTTACTCAGTACTGAAGTCATAGACGCTACCAATGAGGTATTCGTGATTGTGATTGACCGCCTGTAGGACTGTAATGGATATTTTGTTTAGACACCAATTATTAACTAATGTCACGCATCTAGTCCTTCGTTTGGTGTAGACCAAGTACGACCAGTCAGGCAGCTGATTGTTTTGAACCACCTGACGAAAATTCCCCATGATGACCAGCTAGAATGGTCGCCATATTATAAACTTGACTGAGAGCATTCAGTCTGCACCAAACGAAGGACTAGGCGCGTAGTATTAGTTGCTAACTAGTCTCTAGACAAAAAGAATGTTCTCGATAATTCCTTCTTTAGGTTCCATAATCGTATCCCATTCGAATTCCGCTTAACAGCGTAGCGCGCAATGTCATTCGACAGTCTCCTTAGCGTGACTGACTGACTGGTTTCAACGTAGAACTTTGCACCGATGTGCAGCAGTTCGAATGGCCACACTTCACTCGGCACACAAAGCCAGAGAAGAAAGTAAAAAGAAACGCAAAATAAAGACAGTAAACAAAGATATGAGGCAAAAAGAATAGTAATATCGAAGAAAAATATAGTTTTATTGGAAATTGTAAGTCACAAGGAGTGGATGCATCTGCTCCATTGAGAACGATTTTGAGCCATATCACCAATTGTCTCCAGACATTGGTGTTTACCCTCCCGAGGACCCCAACCAGGAAGTCTACATCTCTCTACGTGGCTGGTTTAAACTAACTGTTGTGGATTTCATTGACTGATGCTGTTGCTGCTACCTTGATGTGGTGGTCGGGCTTGCATATCATAATGACCCAACAAGCTACACTGGCTGGAACTATAGTTCCTGCAGGTCCTACCATGCCACGAAGGTTGTTAGGATAGCGAATAGACTGAAAGCAGTTACCGACATTGTGTAAGAATTTCTTTTACACTATGCTGGGGGTCTGTGGGCGAAGTCGTACTGCTGGGGAACAGGAATGTAAGAGCAGTAAGCTGTTTCCACCAGGTGACCAGCATGCCAGCTATGCTGTCTCTCCACTCTGCAGAGAGGGGATTAGAAAAGGTCGACCCCAAAAATTTTACATTCCGACTTACCCTACGGTGGTCCGTAACCGACGGTAAGTTTACTAATACAGAACCAATCCCAGAAACCAGTTCATGCAGGCCGTGTGTGACCGGCGTCAAGCAGTTGTCCCCTGGGCTCTGCGGTCACGCAACACTAACCCTCTTTCTGTTTCAGGTACCCGAAGACTAAATCAACTTCCATGGTGTGGGCAGCCGGGAAGTAACAACCGCCCACACACTTCTAAAAACAAACGAAGCCTCCCTGAGCATCATTCTTCTTTACCCACATTATCTTCATCATCTTACTTTCTCCTCAACGTGTGTTCCTTTAAACCAGTGATCGAATACAAAGTCACTTTTGAGTCTATGACTGATTTAATTCTGCGATAAAAATGATGGTTGCTCAAACGCTAGGGACAGACATAGGATTAAAACTTATCGCTTTTATTTTGAACTCAGTTCATATAGATTTCATGTACCACGATATGTGCAACACACTATGTGAGGGTTAATAACACTATCTAGTTGCCCCGACTGAAGTGGGAAAAGTGGAATTTGAATCCAGGATCTATTGCTTGAAAGTTAAGCGCTTAAGCAAATGAACCACTTGACCTATCGCAGAAAGGCTTTCAAATTAAACAACATAGACTGTTACAATAATGAAGCAATTAAAATTGTGAATGACATGTGAAGGAATTACGCAACAAAAAAACACGTATTGTATTACAGAGTGAAGATGGGTTTTAACAAAGAATGAAACGGAACAATGTGAGAACTGCGTACCTATACAAAGAAAACCATTACCATTTACTCACATGACAATAAAATTTATGAATTGATTCCACACTTCAAAAAACACCTATTCTCAGTTACTGCCATCATAAAAACAACTGGTATACACTGACATGAGACTTACCGATTTTAAACTCTAGGGAATCTGGTGTGTCTGGTTCATGATCGGCAGATTTCTTGATTACATGCCGACTTTCGATTGGGGGAGGACTCCAGGTGGCGGTTCTTGTGGGTGTTGGTTTACTGTCCAATATATCTATTTCCATAATATCCATATCATCATCTGTTATCTGAGCTTCTGCCAACTGTTGAGAACTGCGAGGTAAGGTTGGTAATAAGGGTAGTGTGTTACGAACAGGAATAATTGAGGCTTTCACGTCATCTTGCGATGGGATCAGTAGGCCTGGGTTTTGTTGTTGTGCCATCGGTACACTTGTTTGAAGTATTGGAGGTGTTTCGGATGCTGTCAAAACAGGTTTGATTACATTTTCAGTCGCCACAGAACTCATACTTGGTGGAACAACTCCAGCAATAATGGCAGCATGACCTCGTGTCAAACGAGGATCTGTTGGTGGTCCACTATCTGTTGTCAACACTGTAACCAACAAGAATCAAAAAAGCAGACACAGTCAAAGAAGAAAGTAAGATTATTTTGAATCCGCTAGTACTGATAATCAGCACCATACACAAGGAGTATATTTATTCACTTTTCATCTTTATGCACACCTTCAAAGGTGTGAATAAGTAAGGGAACGAAAACTAATCATTTAATAATCGTTATACTATACAAACACAAGGCTGCATGAAAAACTTGTACTTCTATTTTACAAACACAGCTAAAAAAATTCTCTGTTGCCTATAGTGACCATTAAATTGGATTAGAAGGCTAACAGGAAAACTACTCAGGTGCGAAACGTCAGATGTAATGAAGGAAAACAGTGTCGATTAGAAAAACCTTTTTCATGCATATTACATTTTCTACAACCTATATTCAAAGAGGAATGCTATGTTTTGAGATGTAAATGCATGAACTAGAAATAAAATTCGGGGACATATAATACACTTTTCAATACACTATACCAAAAATGTCATCACTGGATTCTATCGCATTCTAATAATTATTTTAAAGGCTGGTACAATGAGGCATACACGCCAGGGAGTATTGGGAGAAGTAGTGATATCTAACGACACAATGATTACTATATTTTAAATGCTACACCCATTAAAATTCAAAAAACAATACGGCGATCTTAAAATACAGTTTGTGAAATCGTTATTTCACCCGACAAAAAATAAACTAACCAGAGGATAGAGGTTTTGAGTTCGGTAAAGGTGTGGTATTTTGATTACGAGACACAATTGCACTGGTTGTAACAGGACTTGAATTCGTATTCACCGTTGGCATATCACCTGGTCCGATCCACTTCTCAGGGAGTATGCGATTAGGGCTGTCAACTGGTGAGACTACTGTATTCGGCAAGGTACTAGGGGGATCAAGACCCAATAAAACACGTAGCGACCGCAGCAAATCCGTAGAGGAAGAACGGTGCAGAAATTCGAAAAGTGGAGCAATGCTTCTGCAAATAAACAGAATATCACATTTAAGTAAACACTAATGGATAACATAAGTCTCTCATATTGCTGAAGTCTTTAGTCAAAATAACATACACGATATGAATACACAACTAAAAACTAAGTAGCAGAATAAGTGGAAGCATCATAACTGCAATCTACACTGTTACGCTATATATACAAAGAAACCAAGAATCTCTGGAATCATATACACCACATAGGTGGTTGGAGAGAACTAGCAGAAAGTCCTGAACGTAGGGCTTTGTGTTTATTGTTAGTCATTAGCAAAGTATGTCTGTATCAATTAATATCACGGATTTAAATCTCCGATGAAATAATAGTTATCTGGTGATCAGAAGTGCCAATAACCACAAAATCTAGGTCCACAGCTTCTTCCCGAATTTTCGTGGCCAACCAACATGAATCCACGGTGTTCTTTGGCTTTTACTTGTAAGCAAACGGTGAAATAGAGTAACGCTATTTAATTGGATATGTAAATGATGAAATCTTTCTAACACCTAACACTAAAACCTACTTAGAGAATGAAACTTATAATATGGTCAAATATCATTTGAAACTTGACAGCTATGGATGCGCAACCATATGTCTGTGAAGCTTTCTGAAACCCTAAGTGTTTAGAGATTCGTAAATATGTGTTTATTTGATTGGTGTTAAACCACCTACTGAGTTGATGCTGATGAAAATACCTAGTTATTTAAATGACATTAGATGAAATCAATTTGCAATCCATGATTTAGTGGTTGTAAATTGAACCTCGTCAGTTGTCCATATATCTAAACTTGAATGAAACCCTCTGAATAATTTACGCCACATTAGTAGGCACATATACCACAAAAAAAGTTTTACCCAACTGAAAAAATACGTTTTGCATAACAGACCATGAACAAACTTACAACTAACCTATGACTTAGGCCACAAAAGGTAGAGGGGATTATTAGGCCGTGAAAGTAAAGGGTAACGTATTAAAATACGGCAGTAAATTAAATACTTTTGTTTGTAACTATGAGAAAAAATTACACAGAAATTATCAATGTAATTGCAAAAAAGTATATAACAATCATGATCCTACTTAACAACACCCAAACGGATCATTTCTTCTAAACCAGCACGGACGCCTAAAACGATTCTTTCGACCATAGGTGGGTGATAAGTTCCAACAATCTGAAGTACAATAATAAAAGATAGATTATATACACAGGAGTATATATATATATATATATATGCAGAGAGCTACCAAACATTTAGTTATATAAATAAATGGAATTTTTATTTCAAATAAAATCACGATACATTAGCCGGCAATTAATCAACATTCGTGTTAATCCTCAAGATAACACCCAACTAACCAAGCTACAGTGAAGCAGGGTTTCAAACATGGACCCATTAGATAGAAATGACATTTTCAATCCAATGAACAACATTTCTAGAGTAATTACCAAATGTTCAGTTCAAGATCCAAAAGTTCTCGATAACGCTTTGTACTTAATTGCACATGTTTCCGTATGACAGTGTTCTGCAGTAACACCGTACAAGCAGTTCAAATGTACGATCTTATGCAAGGAATAGTCATTTAAATAAAGAATTTTATAATTACATTTCATAAGCATGTTACTACAGTGACTTATATACTAAAAGCTGTATTCTACAACTGAACGTAAACATGTTGCTAGGTTATTCATATGCATTAGAATAAATGTATCCAAATACTAGTTCACTCATAATCCTGTTTTTTGAATGACTTAGCAACATGCCCGTTACTTTTAGTCCTACCCTAGCTGCAAGGACAGCTGAAATAAGCGCAAAGACTGTCAATTGAAGTAACTTGGTCTTTGGACAGAGATTACACCATCTTGTAGTAGGGTGTGCGAAATGTTGACTATTAGCTGCTGGAAACTTTGACAGTTTCCTCCAAATTGAAACTAGTGACATATATATAGTTCCTTTAGTTCCTCTATTCACTAGGGCATATTATCTTTCCAACAATTTTATTGATCTTTGTTTTACTTCCTCAATATTTCGCACTCTTGCTGTCAGCTTTAAAGCATCATATTCCTTGGTTGTATCATTTTGTACTGAAAATCAAGTGAATAATGCATGAATAAATACAAAACAAAATCTCGCCTAGTTAAATAGCTTGCTACCTTTCTAGGCCAGTCCCAAGCCCGGGTAAAGTGGGAGGGTTGGGTGTGGGGCTACCAACCCTACACCACTAAACCTATCAAACTGCTAGGGAAACTTCAACGCACAGAAAATATACTAAAAATACGAAAAAATCAAATAACAACAATCTTATTCTTCGCTGGAATCGGAGGCGAAATGATGTGGGCTGATGAAAGCCTTTGGGAAGCCAGTCAGCCTATGCGTCTTTTCTCGATGGAAGCAAGAATAAGAATTGGGACGTGGAATGTACGTACAATGTAAGAGACTGGGAAGACTGCCCAGGTAGCAGAAGAAGATATGGTATAGAAGAGCTCGAAATCTGCTACAGCAGATGGAATGGATGTAGATTATCAAAATTGTCAACTAGAGAGTCAGTAATCTACTCAGGTCTGGTCACCCAGATGACAACCAAGAGCACACTGAGGCAATGACTGGCTATCATGATGTCACCAGTTGCAGTCAGAGCCCTAATGCAGTGGGAACCAATTTCATCCAGAATCATGACAGCAAGATTCAAATCAAAAGGAAGGAAGGTAACAATTATCCAATGCTACGCACCTCCAAACAACTTCGAACAGGATAAGAAGAAAGATTTTGACAGACAACTACAAACAGTAATGGACAACATTCCGAATGGTGACATCAAAATCCTCATGGGTGATATGAATGCTAAACTGGAACCTGATTATACAGGAGAGAGGCTCTCGGAGAAATGAATGAGAACGGAGAATTATTCGCAGACTTCTGCTCATTCAACGATTTGGTGATCGGAGGCAGCGTGTACAAACACAAGGATATACACAAAGCAACATGGATTTTGCCTAACGGGCACACCACAAACCAGATAGATTTCATCTCAATCTCAAGGAAGTGGAGACGCAGCCTGCTGGATACAAAGTCGAGAAGGCGAGCAGATGTGGGCTCAGACCATCACCTAGTTTAAGGAACCTTCAAGGTGAAACTGAAATCCCTGAGAACAAATGGAGACAGGCCATAATTCAAGTTCAACATTCAGAAACTGAAGGACAAAAATACAAGGGATGCCTTCACTACAGAAATCAGGACAAAATCCGACACACTACGTAGCATCACCAAGGTAACCTGCGTGGAAGAACACTGGAGCTCTATGAAGGTGATGTTCAGGGAAACGTGTACAATTCTTCTAGGAAGAAAGGAGAGAGAAGACAAGGAATTGCTCTGAACGTACGCCTACCTGGAAGCTGACAGAAAAGATGAGAGGAGGATAGTGAAAGAGAAGATTACTCAAGGAAAAGATGAACAACAGAAGGAGAAGCTGAATTCAATGTACACTGCACTGAATAAAGCAGTAAAGAAGAGTGCTAGGAAAGATAAAAGACAATTCTACGACACACTGGCAAATGAAGTGGAATAGGCTGACCTCAGGTAAAAGAGACCTCAGAATGTCATATCAGATAATCAGGTCTCTATCTGGGAAGAGATCAACCCCGACAATGAAACCAATAAAAGATGGTGAAGGGAACCTGATTGCCAAGGAGAAGAAACAAATAAAACAATGGGTTGATCACTTCAAATCATTCTTGAATCGACCATCACCTGCAACTCGCCCAGAAATACCACCAACAGAACAAATGGAACTGCCTGTCAGTGGACATCAAATCTCCAACGAAAGCAGAAATCCTAAGTGCGATCAAGCTACTGAAGTCCAGTAAGGCAGTAGGATCGGACGGAATCGCCCCCGAAGTACTAAAAACGGACCGAGAAACTGCGGCAGATGTTCTCACGCTATTATTGCAAAAGGTTTGAGGAGAAGGAAAGGTATCTGCTAATTGGAAGAAAGACTGGCTAACTTGTCAAACTATTAGAGAACAGTGACTTACGCCTCACTCTGCAAGTACTGGCGTCGAATAATGTTCTTGTCAACGCCAAGTAAAATACTGAGTCACATCATCCTGGAGAGAATAAAGGATGCACTGCATACAGAACTCCGCCAGACCGCTTAAACAAGCTGAATTCAGGAAAGGCAAATCATGTGCTGATCAAATTGCAACTCTACGCATCGTTATCACAGAACAAAGCATACAATGGCAGTCAAACCTCCATCTCAACTTCATCGACTTCGAAAAGGATTTCGACAGGCAGCGTAGATCGACAGGTAATTTGGAAACTACTTCAACACTACGACATGCAGTGCCCAAGTCCTTATCAACCTCATTCAACAGCTAGCTATATGACAATGGCGCGTGTCAGGTGATCCACAAAGGTAAACGCAGCGGGGAGTTCGAAGTAAGTGCAGTAGTAAGACAAGGTCGGCTGCCTGTTATCACCGCTGATATTCTTAATTTTGGTGGACTGGATTATGTGTCAGACTGTTGGGGGCGAGGAGACCGGAATACGCTGGACCACCGATAAGAAGACTCTAAAAGATCTGGATTTCGCAGATGAATCATGTTTAGTATCACACAAACTCGAAGACTTGCAAGCGAAAACCAACAAACTGGCTGAAGAAGCGGGCAGAGAAGACAGGACTGTGGGTGAACACAGAGAAGACGGAGGTGATGAAGATAACCAATCAACAGCAACAACAACCAGCACCAATCACCATCAACGGGAGAGATTTAACAGAGGTTACTTCCTTCACTCATCTGGGAAGCATCGTTTCAGCTACAGGCGGAACGGATGAAAATGTCAAGGTCAGAATCGGAAACGCAAGAGACACTTTTATCAACCTGAAACCAGTTTGGAAACCTTCTACACTCAGCATAAGGGACAAGATTCGCATTTTCAACACCAATGTCAAGTCGGTTCTTCTATACAGGTCAGAAATTTGGCGTGTCACGTAAAGGATTTCCAACAGGTTGCAGACTTTCATCAACAACTGCCTTCGCTCCATACTGAAGATCGAATGGCTGGCCAGAAAGAATTAGTAACAAGAAACTCTGGCTTGGAACAAGCCAACCAAGAGCCCATCGCTCAACAAATATGTAGGAGAAAATGGTTATGGATCGGTCATACATTGAGGGAGCCGTCGAATGACATCACGAGCTAGGCCTCAAGTGGAATCCAACTGGGAATCGACGAGTGGGTTATCCTAGGGTGAAATGTAGGAGATCGTGCGAGGAAGAGATGAGAGAGTTTGGTCAATCGTGGACCCAGCTGAAGAGGATGGTAGAAAAAAGAACGAGGTGGAGACGTGTTTTTGAAGCCATATGTTCTGCTTGGAACCCAAGGGAATAATAATATATAATAAATACAAAACAATACACGAAAGAAACATCTACAACCGCTCTACTTTCTACGATGCATATCCATAAAAACAGGATTATGTAGACTCGAGAAATATAATTTCCTTACCTTGATTAAAAAATCAACCAGTGAAAATGCGATCAATTGGGAACGTGGGTTGAGATGATTCATAATAGCCAATAAAGCAGGTTCTGTAAAGACAGAATAGAAAAGTGACAATGAAAGCAACGAGTAATTGTGAAAACATCTAACTCCATGGGAAAATAGACTTGGTAACTAGCATAATCAGCTGCATTAATAGCCACATCCATTGTATTTTTGACAATGTCACTCAGTTGTCCATCATAAACTAGATAGAATAATTTACACTTATGACCTGGCATCCATTACAGCTAAGACGTAATCATATAACAGATTGATCCTATGCTAGTTATCACCACCACCTTTTACAATCAATCATCTAGTCAGTACAAAGAAAGGAAGAGGATTCATTACTACGTGCTTCACAAAACATTGAAAAATAACGAAATCACGTGACTCCCTCTGATAATCAGCTTTGATATATGAGCTCACACGTTAACTATGCATTTAAGAGTTAAAATTAAGTAAGAAACATAGTATCAGAGAATCTGCCTAATTGTTATTCAGTTGCCAAGGAGAAATGAAGTGCAGTAGCGACCCAAGACATCTTTTTAGGTAACCAAAAGCTCAGATTATTGAGTACGAGATAAATCCATGCTCTCAAACATGAATTATCAAACTAGTAGGTGGTTTAGCAGCTATTAGACGACCGTGCTGATTGAGCTTAAAATATTTAAGTTATTTTCGAACCACACAGGTTAAATATTTACCACCTATAAAACAACGAATCGAAAGAAAAAATAAATACGTTCCGACTACTACGTCTCTTTTTTTTAACTATTTAATGAACTTCTGTTGAAATATACTGAATTCTTAAAAGTTGAATTACATAAGCACGAGTACAAATAATTACGAAAATAAATTGCTGAAGTTCGGAGTAGCAAGATTTGTGTAGTCCCAGAAAATGAGTTAGTTGGACTAATTACCCAACTACAAACAGCTGTGAAGGAATTATTCCACAGTGAATCGGGGAAGAAGTATCAGCAACAACCATAATAAGCTTTAAGAATATTAAAATGTTAAATCACCATTTGAAACGAACATTTATCTTAACTAATAAAAAATAAGAAACTTACCTAAATTCATTATGCAGTCATTAGGTTTAAAGAACAGCCAATCATAGAAAAGAGCCAGTTTGGCGTTAGCAGTAGCTACAGGACACTAAAGAAAGAATACAAAATCGAATTAACCAATAAGGACAACACACATTAATGAAATTCAATTGCACACCAATTAGATTTGGAATTCAAAAGTTTCCATGTATCAAAAAATACAACTTATGTGTATTCGCATGTTACCAAATAGAAGTTTTAAAAGCATACAATTAAGTTGTTAAGTCGTAGTCAGGCATACTTCCCAAACACGCCAAAAGATGGTTGCTAAAATTATGAACACGATAAAGATTACAAACAGCAACTACCTGTGATGTTGACTGAAAGCTGACTACCAATCAAAAAGAAAATTGTAAGAAAAATTCTGTAGGTTTATATGAAAACATTTAGCAGATTTCACTCATATAAAGGCTACAACTTTTTCAAAGCGTCTGACTTCCGAAAGTATTCAATTTTCATCCATCTTGGGGTTTTCACATAGTACTGAGCTTCCATATGCCAGAAAAATAAAACCTACATCACTCACTCAAATTTACGCTCAGCAACACTTGCTGTTAGCTGTAGATATCATAGGAACAAAGTTTTATTTGCACTCAATAGCAACAAATCTCGACCGAAAGCGAACAATTTATTCTGCAGTGTGGCTGTGAGTGCAAAATCCCCTTCAGTGAGAACACAGTCAAATCAAAATGTATGAGGCTAGTATCTAATTTTCCTAAGTTGAACAAACTACTAACTTTCTTCAAATTATCAGATTTACAAACCTGAATAAATCAAAAAGATATCAATATTTACCCAAAAATCAAACGAAAACCAACCTTCAAGCAAAAAGCAACACGATGATCCCTTACATCCAGGTTAATATTTGTTTAAGCGAAATAAATGTATAAGTGGAAAATTAGGCCCACAAAACAGCCGAATTTTATTATATCTTAGGGCACTCACCGTAGACTGTGATAGAATCCAAGAAACTACATTCCATCGGGGTATTAATGTTGAAGCTAACATTTCATTGTCCGGATAGAAGTAAGTCACTACGTATCGTAGAAGGCATACGCGAAGGCTCTGACTTTCTGGAGTTGCGAAGAATTTTCGCTAAAACATAAAACGTAAGATACAATTTTAGCGGTGTTGTAACAAAACAGTGAATAAATTAGCGACCCAAACGCTATGAAAATATACCCCACTCAAAACACAATGAAAAAGTGTATGAAGTGCGAAATTACCTGGAAAAAGTCCTGATACCGGTGAACAGGCACTCTTGGCACGCAGTGGACATTCTTCATCATCCAACGAACCCATTGTTCCATTTCATGTGGAATAAGAGTTTGAGTGAAACACTGAGGCGTTGTGATTTCCAATATTTCAGAAAGATCTAGAATATTTTGTCGAAAATAAACGTAATCAGTGGAAGGCTTCATAAAAATGCAATATACTAAAAACCAGTTAACTCCAAATAAAAAGAAACAACTTGAGACAAATGCAGAAAACCATCACCTTCTGAATAAAAGTACAAACAGAGAGTGAACCTAAATTTCCGACAAGACTTACTTGAAAAACAAGAAGACAGAGATGAAATGTTTTGGAGGATATCATCCCATAAACGCTTTATAGGTTCTAGTCGCGCAGCACCATGTAAAAGACGAATAAAGTCTCGACCAATTTGGGCGCAGCGGTCAAACTAAAACAGAAAATGTTTTCAGAAAAAATCTTGATTACTCTTAACCATTAAACAAATTTTGTATGCCTCAGAAGCAAACGCATAACGATATGCTCTATAATACACCTTAATCTACAAGAATAAAAACAAAGTTTCTAAAAGAATATGTATCGAAAGAGAATTAAGATCAAGAATGCGTAAATACTAACAACACAAATGTCTATTGAAGGAAGCGGACTAAAAGCTGATTGACTTCTCGACATAGAACTTTGCAAAAAATCGCCACAGCTGAAGTTGTCACACCTCGGTAAAGACACACGAAGATGGAGGAAACATACATATAACGAAATCACAATGGAAGAAAATGTAACGGAGAAAAACTAACTAGATGAAGATTGCTGACGATTTTTAGATGACAGAGTGGATGCGATTTCCAGCCTTATCATTAGCAATCTCTTGCATGAAGAACTTAGCCAGGAAATCTGCACCACCCTAGGCGGCTCAAACTAGCAGTTATATACGCTATGAATGGGTGTCATGTTTTTATCTGGTCATCCGTAACTCTTCTATCCAATCCTAATTCAGCTGATACTGCTCATTAAAAGTGTGTAACACCTAAGCTATTCCATTTGGAGTTGTGAAACTAATGTTTCGGTCTGACGAGTAACTTCCCTAAATTAATTATATTTCATTCAACAATGCTTTTCAAAGAAGGTGATGACACGGAAGGGATAATATATGTCGATGGAAATTCACGGCCTCAAGTGATCGATTTCCTTTCTTTGTCTAACAACTTTCCCTTGACCTCACTACTACTCAAAACCTCGCTCTACTGACAGCAGAAACTGAACGCAGACAACCACGGTGTCAACTTTCAACACCTTTGTCTCACGTTATAGATTGGGTGGGGCTAAATGCTGGACAGTACACATATGCCCAGACATCATACCACTGCCGAGGACGAAGGAAGTTGACGAGAACAGTTTCTCTTACCTTGCTGAGAAAAAACCCTAGAGAAAATCATGTTTAAACAAATGTGCTATAATGCACATAGTTCTAGAAAATAACGATTTTATTACCATTCAAATAAGCGACAAACTGAACTGACACAATTGTTTGCGGTATAAATTAGCAAAAATATTTGTCAACGACAGCCACCTTAAGGAGTGTACCTTGAATTGGTTTCATAAAAATTATGGCTTGTAAGCTGATGCATGAACCTGTATCAGTCAGCTAAATTACAGACACCCATTCAGTAGTCCAAAGTTCAGTTATGGAAGTCTCTGTTCTCACAATACTTCTGTGTTCAAGTATTTACTTAGGACAATTACTTTTCAACAACAGGGATTCGATTTTGTCCTAGACATTCAGGACAAAAAGCTACACAGCTTTTACCTGTAAGCTAAATGCATATATAGAAAGCATTGAGCTGCAAGGTGGGATATTTAGATGCTGTCAGTTACTTATCGAGAAGAGGTAGTTGAATAAAGTTTCCAATGAAGGATAAAAAATATGAAAGCATGAGGAATTTATTTCAACAAATCGTCTTTTAAATAAGAAGGGAAAATTATTCTAATGTGTTATTTACCAGTGAAAAGTGATTTAACAACATATAAAGGACAGTCAGGTGCAGTAACCTCGACAAGCATATACCAGGTGCTGTGTTATACTAATGTATTACACATCCATAAGAAAGGCAAACAAAACTATATCCAAGGGACTATCTACAATCTTAACATGCAGTAGATTATTTAATATTAAGATTTACGAACACATACAAAAGGGACATTTACGAAATAACACCAAAGTAAAGAAATCAGTTACGTGTCTTTGACTTACGTTCTTGCGAATAAGTTCTTCAACTAAACTCAATTCCTTCTGTCGGAGCTTGGGTAAAACGACAGATGGAATAGGAGACACTGCTGCTGGTGGTTGAGCAGGTGACCACTGTGATCTGGAATTAGCCTAAGCAGTGTATATACAGTTAGGGGGAGCAAAAACGGCTGTCGATCTAAGCTGCTTAGCCACTCTCTAGTGAATACAATTCAGGAATCAAACCAAATTACTTGTTTTTCTCCAAAAGGTCTACCATAACATCTATGAGCCAGAGATTTGGTGGACTAATATCACCAGCTATCAGAAAACTAAAAGGAAAACACAAAAATTACTTGTCATTCGTCGATAAAGATGCAGCATTAAGACCTCGACACTTGCAGTCCTCGTTGATATAAGTTCACCTAACAAAGATATAGCGTTAGACCGAACAGTATTAGTCATTTTCGGCCATGTCTCTGCCACCAAGCGAGTTAACTCTGACAGGACGTAGGTTAAATTGTCGCGAGATGTCAATACAATATCCGTGCAGAATGAGTGCCTTGGATCCGGCTCAGTGAGTGCCAAATACAGCAGCCCAGCCTGCAATGCTCTGTGCTCTTCCTCAGAACCGGAACGATTAGCCTAAGAAAATTGGAAATCACGATGGTCATGTACCTGCGAGTCAACTACATTCGCCTCTGTCTCTCTTAACTTTTTAACAAACTTTCCAGCAGATTGAAGAGTCTGAAATTAAGTGACGTTAACTAAACTTATAAGTTTTACTAGTAGGAATTTAGGAGGACTATCTAATGATGTTAGTTTTAGCAAGGGCAGTATCTGAGGCTCCATCTAACGAATTCTGACTTGTGCGACTTCAAGGTCATGCAATACCTTGCCTAAGCAGAGAAACAATCCAATATCCAATGTTGTCCTTACGAGCTGGTATAAACCAATTTGATTTCTTTGTGCTTGCTTCTTTATTTTGAGGTAAGGGTTCCTAGTGCTCAGTAAACTTCTGGGTAGTTCGTCTCACCACTTGAATGTCGTAGCTTTGGTTGACTCCAAAAAGAGTAGTGCTGGGATTAATTATATGTTGTTTATAGTATGCGGTGTGTTTAGACTTTTTTATTACTGTGAATGGGGTTGATCCTTTCACCAGTTAGCCCCCCAGTATCATCGTCAAAAAAGGGAAGATAATAATAATAACATATAATTATTGTAGGTTATTCAAACTAAAAGACAGAGAGAGGAATAGAGAAAACGTCAAAACGGAGAGCTAATTAAACTTGAGGTTGATATAAATATACATATAAAAAACATGTATATGCATATAATATCAATAAGAATAGTAATTATAATAAGTGTAAGTGTAGTAGTTGGGGTAGTCAGGAGAGTAAGACAGGAGAGAATGCAAAGAAGTAAAACGACACCTGAATGGTGTGTGGGATTTTAAGGGGATAGACAATTTAGGCGCAGTCCTTGTGTTGCTGCATGATTGTCCAGCCTTCGCTTAAAGGCGTCCACAGACGGTGCCATAGCTACATCTGTCGGTAAGGAGTTCCAGGGAGGCAAACCCGCAGTGAAAAGAAATGGGAGCGTACTCGAATCTTTGCTCTGTGGTAAGCTATCCTTCTGGGATTTCCACAAGGAAGCCGATACCTACTCAATGGCAGAGCACCTTTGTTTGGGTGATTCTTGTCATTTATCTTGTACGCAGTAATCAAATCCTCTCTAAGCTGACGGTATCTAAGTGTGAATAGGCCTAATTTCTTTAGCCTTTCATCATACAGTTTATTTCGGAGACCAACCACTCTTTCTGTCGCCCGTCTTTGGACTCTTTCCAAGAGGTTGGCATCTCTTCTAAGCAGTGCGGGTGCAATAATATTGTGCACTTCAGGGTGTTGTCTGACACATATTTTGTACAACCTTAGAAAGAGCTCATTTCACTACCTTGCACTTTTTCAGGTTGAAAATCATGCCCAGTCTTCCAGAAGCTCTAGATCTGCCTTCAGCCTATCTCAGTCATCCGAACATTTTATTACTCCCCATGTCTTTACGTCGTTAGCGTATAGAAGAGTCCGGCAGCTTAGACGGCATGTTGGGTCACTGAAAAGAATCAAAATCATCAGTGGTCCCAGGATAGAACCCGGTAACACTCCTTATGAGAAGCAGTGCCAGGATGATCGGACCCGATTGATCTTGGTGCAGAATTACCTTTCAGCTAGGTATCCTTCAACCGTGACTGAAGCGGCTCACTTATACATGTCTGATTTACTTTGTGTAAGAGAACGTCATAGCGAAGTATGTCAAGTGCCTTCTCAAATTCTAGGAAGACAACATGGACTGGGACATTCATCTTCCAGCATGATTTCCAATTGTCCCAAGCTGATAATAGGTTTCCATTATGGGTAAATTTTGTTTTGATAAAGTCTCACAGTGTTATACAGTAATGTTTACTGATGACGTTTCGAGCACAATTTATTGCTCATAATCATATCAAGATACTCATATCATATAATCACCTTGATATGATTATGAGCAATAAATTGTGCTCGAAACGTCATCAGTAAACATTACTATATAACACTGTGAGACTTCATCAAAACAAAATTTACCCATAATGGAATTACACTCTACCACAATGCACAAGTTTTATTCTTATATCTATGATAATAGGTTTGTTAGGCAGGATCTGCCTTTCCTGAAAACCGTGTTGGGCTTCATGGAGTCTATCAGTCCTATCGAGGTGCTCCTTGATGTGATCATGTCCCTGAGCATACCCAAAAGCAAGGTTCAGTGATGGGCCATTGAAATCTCCAGCAATGGTGATTTGGTCATAACCCAAGTCTCGTATCCCTGTGCTGGGCAGTAGCTGGTTGTGCTTTGCTACGCTGGCGGGTGATCGGTAGATGCCACCCAGTAAATGCTTGGTGTGGCCTACGGTGAAATAAGACCATATGGAATCTGGAAGTTCAACTAGTGTAGGGTCCATTGCACGTACGCATTTAAGTTGCTTATCAAAGCATATGACAATCCCCCATTCCTTTTTATCCCTGTCTCTCTTGACCAGAACCATATCACTTATACTGATTTCGTTGTCGGCGATAGTGGGGGTTATCTAGGTTACAGTAAGGATGAATATTTTAAGGCCTAGGTAAGACTGGAAGTTTCTCACTTCCCCTACTTTCCTTCTTAGCTCTCTAACATTGCTATAAAGGCAGCTGACAGTGATCCTAACAACCTCAACGTGTTGTGGGGTAGTTGACATTACAGCGTCTGCTGGTAGGGGACTTAATATGTGGACTAGTCGGCGGATTCCAATGAAACCAGTCCATTGTCATTTTTCTTTGGATTCGGGTAGGACACTTGGGTAGCACTGACCGTCATTCTCGGTAGCGCATCTCTGTAGTGTCACTAAGGCTTGCGGATGCATTAAGGCCTCAGTAAACTGCCTCCTTATGGCCTGAGGTCTGATGAGAATAACATGCATGGAGAACTTAAAGCTTATAACGCGTATAAATCCATCTTTTATTAGCAAGGCCTAAGAACTGTGCATCAGTAACTTTGAGGGCCTTCTATACAAAGTTTTGACTTATTCGATACTCTAGTGATGTACAATTATCCTAATCTTTCTGAATGGCCGTGGTGAAAATTCATCCCAGTAATATTCAACTGAACGATATGAGACGTCTAACACATGCTAGTGTAGGACCTATTTACAAAACTGATAGGGAAATCTCAGTATCATTTCCTTTGATAGAGCAGTCTATTGATCAAAAACCATCCTTCATCCATCAAACTCCGATTGCAAAACTCAACTTCTATCACCAGTGACAGAATGAGACTAAGTTGGTTAGTATAAGTCCTGTTCCCTCAAAAGAACAAGCAAGAGAGATAAACATAGCAAAGCGCCACAATGTAGGGGTGAGGGGGGAAAAAACACAATTGCCCCTCAGTTCATCATATGGAGAACTCTTCGGAGTCACGGCAAGTCACCCGAAACACTTTGTGGTTCAACGAGATAATATCATTGACAGTTTTAGCATTTAAGGACTAAAACCGACCTATCTAGATAACCATCCTTCCTACGTCTTCTTCTATGTCTTCTACAAATTGTAATCGACGGAACGTGTGACAACGCGAAAACCACTGAGCCCGGCAAGCGAGTTAACTGGGATGAATTGCTTCTTTAAACACTAAAGTTAAACTCTATGTCATTTTACATATTTGTGCAAACTGTTCCATTTGTGATTCGATTTGAACAGTTGTTTTTTTATTTGGATGCACACTTTATCTGATTGAGAGCCATATTATGTTCAGCCATTGTGCTCTTGATATTCGCATGCCGGATAACCCCGTAAATGGAGAACAATAAGTCTTCCAGTTTCTTCAAAAGTCCTGGTTTTAATAAAAATCTTTCTGAAACAAACTGGTTTGTTTTGGTTTCGGATTAAATATGTACCTTCGTTCAGAGTTATTCGTGCGGTGGCTGTAACACAACTCCTAACTCGTGAAAAGTTTCCAGAAAGACTACAAAACGAATGATCAGGGGACTGAGTATACTTCAATATGTTATTTCACTCACTTTCTCATGGGAACCCTAAGTTTTTTTCCAAAACAAAAGCTGGTGATCCGAAATAAGGAATGCATTTCTTTATTTAAGAAAAATAATTATATTTCCAATACCATGCCACATTGATTTACATTTCGCCTAAAACTAGAAAATGAATTCAGTTATACAAGCTGTCACCGATCCCAAAGGAGAGGCGTGGGAAAGATGACGTGTTGATGTTGCAGTAGCCTGTGGATTAGTCGTTGTTGTAAACAAGACAAACTCAGGTTAGTGCGATCAGATATCCGTTTCCTCTCCACTATCAAATCCTTTTTGAAAGTATGATTAAACGGAAGTAGCAAATTGAAAGAAAGCGACAGCACTAGAGATGGTGCAAATAGAACCACGCCCATGGAATTCAGGGTGAGTAATAGTCTTGCAGTAGTAGTAAAATAACACATAATGTTCAGCTTTCCATTCCACACATATTGTCTTTCACTATCCATAAGTTCATTAAACGAGACTTTAGATAAAAAGATGCATTCATTATTTTGCATGCATCTGCACTGTTGCGCAATAACAAGTCCTCTGGTTACAGCACAACAATTTGACACGGCCATGTTACATATCAATGTAATGTATTAATACAGAAATGGAGAAACCTATTCACACATTTCCTCATTTCATAGACCGTTCATTTCCAGCCCGTGACACCTAGTGTTCATTTCATTGTAATTGTTTCATACGTTGCTTTCATGCGTGGTTGCAGCATCTTAGTTATATTTCAGCTGGTAATGTAATAACACTATGTCCAATTCTGGAAGCAGTATATGTGAACACGTTTTGGTGGCAGAAGCTGCTGTTTCAAGTTGTTTTTCGGTTGTCGTAATTGATAGTTACTTAATATGTAGAAATCTTGATGTAAATGTTTACTGCATCCAAATTCTGCAAGCCAATCTGGTGAAGTACGGCCAGAGTTGATATTTGTAAGGTTTTCTAAGAACATATTGAATCTATAGACCTGGGTTGAGGTTGAAAAAGCTTTGGGGCTTTCGAGAGGGTGAGTACAAAATAAGTGTGCCTAATGTCAGATTACAAGCACCTGACATGTTCTCACAGGACCTAAATTAAACAAAGGTGAACCACATTTGAATTATCAGTATGTTGTGCTTGAATGTATTATTTGTAAACAAAAGAAACCGGAAAGCAATCAGAAACCTTTAAAGGTTAAGTGTTATCTATCAATATGAATGCTTCGTGTACTTAATTCAAATAAATGAATTAGAATTGTCTGTAGTTAAGCCATTGTTAACAGCTATTCAGTATGTTGCAAAA